CACAAGGTGGAACAATGTTTTCCGTCTGAGAGAAGAACTCAGACTAAATATGCAGGGTTTGTGTTAAACTTGCTCTCCAAGTATGTTTTTGATGAAGAAACAACATTATTCCATAGATCAGAAAATATCATAATATTTAAGAATGTATTTAAAACAAAAAACTGACCTACTCAACAATGAATACATGTACTTTTTTACTGTCTTAAAATGTGAAAGTATAACTAATTCATTTCAAAATGGTTTGCAGCGGTCCAAACTTTCTTTGATTTTTAATGCAGTCCTAAAATCCTAATTATTCAACATGATGAGTTTATAATTTTCAGAAGCCAGAGCAGAGCCTTGCATGCTAACTGCGCTAGCTTTACTTCTTGATTTACAAATGATAATAATATTTGGTTTTGTTAAAAGCACACACACTTGCAGTATTTACTCGTTTTAGTCTTATTTTAACACAAACAGCTTTCACAATATATCTGTACTGAGGCAAGACAAATTTGACTATTACATGAAAAACACAGGTACAGCCCCTTTAAGTGTAAACCTTTCTGTAACATTTTCATAGTCTATTTTAATATTCAGTAGCTGTCATAGTGGACATTATGGTTGTTTGTAAAATGAATGTCAAGCAAAGACAACTTGTTTTCATAAGAAATTGTTTGCTGGATTATAAATGTCAACATTACAGCTTATTCTGTTATTTATGACTATATTGTTTGCTTTATTACACTCCCCTTCAGAAATGCTTTGTTTGACTCTGTGCGTGTTTTGTTCGGAGGTGCTTCTTTTCCCATAATGGCTGTGTAATGCCATTGGCTGTCAGTCTCTAATCTGTTTAACCAAAGACTGATGAAGTTACCAGTATAGCACAGATTTCATTTTTCTTGTAATTGTTATAATTAGATCATCACCCACATAAAACAAAAATATCATTCTGTGTAATTGTGCAGTGGCTTGTGTCCAGACAGACCTCCTTCTCGTCAGTAATCTAATGTGACGTTCAAGTCCTCATTAGGGTGGGATTTTTTAATTCTGTGTGGTCATGGCAAATCTTCTCCTTATTAAGAGACTTCTAAATGCATTTCCATAAAAGATGAGTCATCCCTGGGCTACTTGAAACTCTGCGTGAGCTTGGTTTTGGAGGTGAATGAGAATTTATATTACGAAAGATTAATATTTACTCATACAAGTATATATTGTAGTCAAACAACCAAAACTTCCTACAGTCCAATGAGTCATGCATAATAAACATGACAGATTAGCATGAGATGTTATTGCTTGTAATGGCAGTATACTTATCCATCTCCATGGAAACAAGCAGGTGACGCCACCAAGCCAATTTATGGGTTTTATCTGTAGGTCATATTTTATTTTATTTATTTATTTTATTGACTTTAAAACTTGCATTCTTACTATGAGTGGGTTCGCTTCTCTGTAACGTCTGTAAATGTAACTTGTCCCTCAGTTATCTCCATAGAGATATATAAGTGTAATGTCGTACAGTGGAACATTTCAGGCAAAGTGATAACATCTCCATGAAGACAACCTGGTGGCACTGAAACGTAACTAAGCTCCCAACTCCTAGTTTAACACTTTATCATTGACAGCCTAAATTTATCTCATGTTGATATTCACAGCGCATGTCAATGTTTGGTTTAATACTCTATTTCTATTGCGTCTAATAAAATGTTTAAAAATTCAGGACATTTTGAAGTGTTGTTGTCACTGCAGATGGCTAATTGACACTACAGCTGCCTCGTTTCGCAGGAACTGTCTTGTACCAACTCACATCGACTTGGCTCCGGAACTTGTATGTCAATCCATTGAGTAAATATCTTGCAAAAGTACCACCATTAAATGCTTGAATGTTTTGTTAAACTTCACTGTGTAACTTTTCTGCTTGCTTGTCTCCATGGAGATAATTATACTTTTGCCAAGTGTATGACAGTGAAGATATGTGGAGGAGGCCACTCTGATTATCGTTAGAATGCATGCTTTTCAATGCATTTCTATAGCAATAAAATAAAAAATTAAATAAATCCAGTCCACCTTATTTATATAGCTCATTTCACACAGTAACAACAGCAACAGCAATAATAATATAGTACAAAAATAAACGCTCAGATTTAATCATATTAGTCTTAAAACAATAAAAACTAGTAAGACTAAATAAGAGCAAAACCATGAAATCACAATAAATAAATGAAAGCAATAAAATACAGAGAACCACACAACTCACGCAGTGTTAAAAGCCAGAGAACAAAGGTGAGACTTGAAACACTCTACTGTGCTAGGAGACTTACATCGTGTACTTTTAAGTAATATTTCTTACTTTTATCACTACTCCAGCTTTGAGGTTGTTGAAAAAGCAATTGCGTTGTGGTCTCCTCGGCATAATTACAAGCACAGTTTGTTGTGAGGTGACAGTGTGAGACTCCCATGCAATAACAGCAGAAGGGCTCAGTGCCACTATTATTACAGTAGCTCCTGATAACCTTGAGTCCCGGTGGACGACTCCCACACAATTAAATCTGTCCTCTGCACGTTATCAAACCACAACTGACAAGGGTGCTATTCTGCCTGGGTTCTTTCACTTCACAATTAAGTGATTTAGTTGTTTTAAGTTGAGAGAAGCAGCTTTTTCTTGTCGCCCATTGGGACCTCAAGGGAACCTCCGTGAATGATGATGATGCATTAGCGTAATGAGAAGCCTGGATATTTACAGCATGGTTTAACACAGACAGGCCCGCAGCTCTTGACACCCACATCTGGCATCATGGAGAATTTAATTTGAAATGGGAGGAGATTTTTTCACCCCTATTTCTCCCTGATGTCCCCATTCCATTTCAGCTAATATTGAAGTCATCTTTAATGTTGGGTCATATGCTGGGAATGGTTATGTCAATGTTGTTACTGGAACATCTCGTGGCCATAACATGATGTCCAGTGCAAACAGGATTAGCTGTGGAGTTACCCTCTGGCTGTGGAGTATTTAAGTGCAGTTGATGGTCTGGATAAGAACATAGAAGGAAATGTGGGGTCTTAATAAAAAAAAAAAAAAAAAACTGGGTTAGATTTGGAACTGGGAAATGTGAGAATATGGTGGTAGATTTCAATTTCAACCTTTTGTTCAGTAGAGACTGGCAATTCCAAGGCTGAAGTGATCCAAATGATTCTAATGAAGGTGTATGGAGTTTAAAACACAGTGGAGCACTTTCTGTATTGCCACATGACATCAGGTGACAAGTGAGTGTTTCCTGTTGGAGAAAAGAACTCTGCCTAAATATGCATTATTTGTGTATTAAATATGTATGAATAAAGCAAAACACAACTCTAGGTATGTTTGTGATCAGAAAATAGCTTGATATAGGCCCTTTTAATTCATAATTGCAATTTTTTTGTGGTTCCATTTTTACTCAGTTTTTAATGAAACTGGAATAAATATTAGATTTTTACACTTGTAGCAGCTTACTCAGTGCTGATAGAGTTGTTGGCTTTAATGTCATGTCACGCTGTTCTGAATAAGTCACTGCTTTTTCCTCAGAATCAACTCTTTGTGACAGTGTGCAGATGAGCGACTGCTGTCATGGAATATCTAGCGCTGATTTAGTGTCTAATAGATTCAGTGATGATACCTCCTGCTGCTCGGCCACCTGTTCTGTCAGCCCCAGTCACATACACATGAATGCAGCTCCTCCAACAATAAACACCACACTATTAGCACAAACTCTTTCAGTTCAGAGTCAAATATCTCTAAAATCTCTCTTCCGATAAGGGGGAGCAGGGTTGGGATGAGTGTATCTGCAGTCCTGAAGGTGTGTCTCCACGGTGCCGCTAGAATCTTGTCCCGTATTCTCCAACAGTGACAGTGATGAAGCGCCTTGCTCTGTGTTTTTTTGGATCTCTGGTGAAAAATGGAGCCATTAGTTGTAGAGGAAAGGGGAGGTGCAGGACAGCCAAGGTTTGTACGATAGGGAAGGCCCTCCTCTTTCCCGGCACGCTGGCCCAAATAGGAGCGTCCATCTTAATCAGTGGTCCACCGGGCTGCTCTGCTAACAGCCTTATACTCTCACATGGCCATTATCATTTGCTCCTTGTATTAAGCAATGGCAGGTTCTATGTGGGCTGAAAGCAAACATGAATTTAGATTAAGTCTTGTTCTAAGATCCAAAAGATCCAGCTCCAAAAGATGAAAGCACTGCAAAACTTTTTAAACATATTCAAATATATGCATGACTCGTATAATGTGATTCATTGCTTGAGTTTACTGTGAAAGAAAAGCTACTTTCTGAGTTGGCTGTGTATCTAGCTCTTCTTGCTCCTAACTGGCCTGTAGGCTCTGCTGGACTGACTCACAGAGCATGAGTTTCTACCAGTGTTGTCACAGATAATGCATGTCTACATGTAGTCTGTGTGCTGCTGTGTGCTGATGTGCTCGTATATCTCTGTGCATACACTTTGTTGATGTGTGCGCTGCTCTACTCAGGCACAGCTCTGAGCTGTCCACAGGTATTACCATCAAACTCACCTTTCACTGTGGATCTACTGTGGATCCTCTGTGTGCCCTGTAGCCCAGCGCTAACTTATTTCAAACACCAATATGTGTTTGTCTATGCCTGGGAACATTTGCACTGCGCTGGCAGCTCGTCCATGTGTTTTCTACAGCGTTAGCCAAACAAGGGTTCAGGGACCATGAAAACTGCCTCTGAGGCAGAAGCCTTTTATTATTCATATTGTTAAATGTGTGCCGTGCATTTGAATCAACATATCCACAGGATAGAGATAGCATCAGACATAATCACATTATCATACACTTCTAACTCTTTTTCCTCCCAAGAACATAAAATCTGTTTATATTCCACAACTATAAGACCAACACGCACTGGACCTGTCCTTCACTCAATTAAAGAAGGAAAACTCTAGTGAGGCTCTTAAGCTTTTCTGCTGGTGTCTTTTAAACAGATCCTTAGCTCTTTCCTTTGCTCCTTTGTCTTTCAGTCACCATGTACGATGAGGCGAGGGTGCCATCCCCCAAAGATGGTGCCAGTGGCGTGGCCCAGGCTGCGGTCCCAGGAGCAGGGACCGCCTCAGGAGGTCAGGCGTCTGGAGCGGTCCTACAGGTCAAAGGTCAAGATGGACCACAGAGCGCAGAGGAGGAACCCGCCTCTGTGGAGCCTGTCCTGGTGAAGAAGCCCCACAGAGAGATCCTGGACCATGAGAGGAAGAGGAGGGTGGAGCTCAAATGTATGGAGCTGCAGGAGATGATGGAGGAACAAGGGTAAGCACCAATTAAACTAACCTAACCATATTCTGACCACCAGCAAATGCACTGAGAATACTGGAGTTGAGGTAGGTCTTACATTTTTACAACTTACATTTTTCCCTCAGCAAGCCATTTTGTACAGAACAAATTGCTTCTTGACTTTCTGACTTGAATATTGCATGTATTTATAGGGAAGCTGAGAAGCTGAACATAAAATATGACTTTCCAAGCCTGTTACCTGCCAAAACAGTAAAGCAGAAAAGTGTTCAGAAGTGTTGCCAGACGCTATATTTACTGATATAGCTACAATGACATACTGTAATAAGAAAAATATTCATCATGTATAAGCTATGGATAAAACCACCTATATATAAAAATCTATAGGAAACATGCCAGTGGTTTGGAGAGGGCTGCTTGCTGAGATGAGTGTCTATTTTAGTTCAGTTCTCAGCATTCACAGGCTCTGATGGATAAGGCCTTTATGTCCTACCTCACACTAGGGAGACGTCCATGGATGGGAGGGGGGGTATCCTTATGGCGAGTAAAAATAAGAGCTGCATATGCTTCAGTCACAGCACACAGACTCGTGGGAGTTAGTTAAAAGGCTGTTGGCATTTTCAGGAGTTGCAGTTTGTAGGAGGCGATGTTGAGGCTAAAATTATTATATACCAATTGTTTTGTTTCCACTGAATGCACTGACCACAATTTAATTATTATTTAATCGTAGACAGTTGTCTTTATTTAACCCTATAAATTTGCTCCTAACCTCAGCTAGTATGTCCGATGTAAACTGAGCTGTATCATGCTCTACACAGTGGGTGAAAACACAGGGAGAGACATATTTGCTCCAAACAGTTATATTCATGTTTATATTTTGGGAATACCTCATGACCAATAACTACAAAACACAACTCCAGTTCAATAAGGCTTTAGATACATGTTCATGTTCTCTTCCCAAGAAAAGGCTGCAGTGCTACACTGTGTATGGTGCATTTTCCTTTCCAATTTTCTGCCGACTGCAGCCTTAATTGGTGCAATCGCACACAGTCCCGCCTCATGCATCTGAAACCATTTACAGGCCCCACGCTGCAGCAAGCAGCTCTCTCTGGCAGTCTCAGGGATTTTCTTCCATTTCCACTTCTAGTACTACTACTGCTGCTATTATTACTACTACTACTACTACTACTACTGCTACTACTGTTTCTACTATTACTACTCCTAATACTACTACTAATACTACTACCGCTGCTCCTACAACTATTCCTACTACTAATACTGTTACTTCTACTGTTTCTACTGTTTCTACTACTCCTAGTACTACTACTACTACTACTATTACTTCTTATACTGCTACTACTTATGCTGCTACTACTACTATTACTACTACTGCTGCTATTACTACTACAAGAACTACAACTACTACTGCTACTACTGCACCACTACTGTTGCTACTAATCAAATCAAATCAAATCAAACTTTATTTATAAAGCACTTTTCATACAAAATGCAACACAAAGTGCTTTACAGTGATTAAAAACAGTCCCGCATTTCCAACCACCCAACCACCCACCCACCAACCCAACCCCCGCACCCCCAACCCCACATAGTCAAACAACCCAAACACACACTCACATACACACAATCATGCACACACACACACACACACACACTCACACTCACACGCTAAAATACATAACCGGACACAATAAAATGTGAGGCTGAATACAGGCGAACCAGTTGAGAAAGCACCATCAGAGGAGCCGTCTGCACCGGGAGCAGAGAGACGTCCACCACCACCAGGAACCACCACAGGGTCCAGGGGAGAGATGAAGCCCAGGCACCTGAGGCCCAAGCACCATCCCTCCACCAGGAGCCCACATGACAGACCCAGCAGCCACAGCTGACCTCCACTCCCGATGCAGAGGGCTCCTACAAAGGAAACACTGGAAATCCTAAAAAATATGCCTAAGATAAATAAATATAAAATGTGTACAATAAAAACAAGTAAAAGTATAAGATTTCAATCAAAAGCTAAGCTAAAAAGGTGGGTCTTGAGCCTACTCTTAAAAACATGAACGTTCTCTGCAGCCCTGAGCTCCTCCGGCAGGCAGTTCCATAGACGAGGGCCATAGTGCTGAAAAGTACTGTTACTACTACTTTACTAGGCCCCCAAATCTCAGATATTTTTTATTCACATCACATTTGTGACTTGTAAAGTCTGGATAATCCTCGATAGATTAGGAGAGGTGGTAGTAATTGTACAAAGGTCATTCTAATTAGTCAGTGCTCCCTGGGCCGAGGGAAGAGGTGGCAGGTGTTTTTCAAGGCCAGGCCAAAGACACTTCTAAAAAGATTAGTCATATTGTTAACTTTTAAACTAAGCTGCAATTTCAGGGTGACATTAAATTTTCTACTTGAAAAGTATCCTTTTATACCACACACCATTTAAGAATTTGGTGAATTGTAACAAGGTCCTATATTGTCCTATATATATGGTTTTCAATTTAGCTGTTACCTTTTACCTTTAGTTCAGCAGGGGTCCGCAATTCCAGGGCTGAATCTATCCAAATGATTATAGTGAAGGTGTATGGAGTTTAAAAACACAGTGGGGCACTTCCTGTATTACCACATGACATGCCAAGGTGGAACAGACAAGAACACAGCCTAAATATGCAGGGTTTGTGTGTTGAACATGTGTGTGTGAATGACAGACGATGATAACATAGACAGAAAATAGCATAGCCCTTCAATGTCATACAGTGGTACATTAAGGCAAAGCTGTAAAAACTCCATGGAGACAACCTGGTGACAGATCTTCCACCAGAACACTTATAGTGCACCTTTAAAATTGTACACAAATCCTTATTCATCCATGTTTTAACTCCAAAGCCTTATACCCAATAGGATTTACTTAACAGTGACAGATGCAGCCTAAATACTAAATACTGCTGGACTTCATGAGAGGGCAATGGGGGTATATGCAGTGGTGCCATCTGTCAGGACCCCTCATCTCTGTGGACTGCAGACACCGGGGCTCTGGGACGGAAAACAATGTAGCTGTGGTTAGATATGTTCAGCTAATGATGACAGAATCCACTGGGGGCCGACAAATGCGCTGACCACAAGAAGACTGGCATACCACGCTCCTGTGTAACCAAGGCACAATTTCACTTGGCAAGCTCCTTTCCAAATTACTGTTCTTAATGTGGCTGTCAGTGCTGGATCATTTTTATATCAGATGCCCTTCCTGACACTACCCACACGTTGGCAAACTTATTTGTGACTGGCCATATTTGGATTGGTCACTATTAGAGACTGACCCATCCCCCAGACTATACTCAGCAGTAGATGCTAGGGGTGTAATGATATCCAAGTCTAACGATACGATATTGTCACGGTATGAACCTCATGGTATGATATTTATTGTGATATCATAGGAAAGCTCACAATATAATGGGGAGACTCACGATTAGAGGTGTAACAATATCCAAATCTCTTGGCATGATATTTCCACGATATACATCTCATGGTACGATATTTATTGCAACATATTGTGGCAGTTAACAAAACTGTTAATTTGCTACTTTCCTCTTAAAATGCCTTGACAAGACTTAATCCAAAGAACTAAGACTTAAAAGTGCTCAGAACTGTTATTTCTTCTTGTAGTCTACACCAAAATGGAGCAAAGGATCATGGTATATGTAGTTCCCTCTGTCTTTTTTGCTATTGCTGCACCATAACTTGTAAGAGACTTGTAATTTGATATATTGTGATGGTCCACGATATTATTGTGAGAACTTTGACGATACGATATCATGATATTTTGGTTATTGTTACATCCCTTCTAGATGCTCAAACTTTTCACATCAAGTACTGCATATGATAATAACTGGCTTTTAAAGGTCCTCTATTATACAAAATTGATTCTTGTAAACTTCAAGTCATGTTAGAACGCTGTTATCTCCTCAAACACATACCTGGAGTTGTGTTTTGTTTCATTCTCACATGTTGTTATTTGGCTGTCTACATCTCTAAAGCTCAAAATGCTCTGTTCTACCATATGATGCCATGAAGTGGTAAATATGCAAGGTTTGTGAGTTGAACATGTGTGAATGAAAGAAAACACAACAACAGGTATGTTTTTGATCACTAAAGAACATATTACTACAACATATTATTACATAAATCAGAAATAGCGTAATATGAGCCCTTTATATCTAAGCCTAAATAGGAAACTAAATCAGGGATAATGTAGTTCTAATTAATGATAAACCCAGGGTAGAACAATAACATTGCTATGTATGTTTAAATACATTTTTTTGATCTTTTGATTAGGGATGTAAAAATAACCAAAATGCTGTGATATCGTAACATCAAAGTTCTCACAATAATATTGTGGACCATCTCAATATATCCAATTACAAAATTATGGTGCAGCAATAGCTTGAAAAAAGACAGAGGGAACTACATAGACCATGATCCTTTGCTCCATTTCAGTGTAGACTACACTAAGCACTTTTAAGCCTCAGTTCTTTGGTTTAAGTCTTGTTAAGGCATTTTAAGAGGAAAAAGTAGCATATTAACAGTTTTATAAATAAATAAATATTGTACCGTGAGATGTATATTGTGAAAATATTGTACCAAGAGATTTAGATATTGTTACATCCCTAATTGTGAGCTTTCCCGCCATATCATGAGCTTTAAATATCATACTGTGAGGTTCACACCGTGATGATATCGTATTGTGAGACTTGGATAATGTTACACCTCTACTTTTGATTAAGGTACCAGCATACTACTACTATGACTTTATTGACAGAAAAACAACAAAAACAACACCCATTGCTGATCCTTCCCGCAAAATCCACTTTCACTGACATTATCTCACTCTAATTCCAACTGATAAAACTGACCCTATCTCGCAATGGAGACACACTCATCATCGGATTCTTCTTAAAGACGGGATCTCATTTGGCAGTCTCCCCTTGCTCTTCCTCTCTATTTCCTAATGTGGA